TAGAGAAGGAGAACCCAAGCTGTATGATCCTAGATGACCAGCCTGTTTCACAGCCTGCTTACACAAGAGCTGGCCCACACTTCACCCACTTAATTCCAAGGCCTGGAGAACACAGGCAAAGCCAAGCCTGCAGGTGCCTTGCATCCATGGACATGAGGTTATCAGATCCAGTGCATAGTGCAGTACCAATGTGGGTGTCTACCGCCCTCTGCTGGCCATTGTCACATATCGGCCACTATTTGCTAAGTGTTCTAACATTTTACTTGCTTTTAAGATTGTTCTCGACTTTCCTTTCGCTAGTCAGTGTTCATAAAGGCATTCTGAATAGAACCAGCTACATAACAATTCTACGTGTGTTCTAAATTCGAAGAAAAGGAGTTGTAACAACTTCATTCCACTCATCTACCAATGTCTCATTTTTTTTTCCCAACGTCCTTTCATTTAGATCTCAGGGCTCCTCTGTGAGGCAATTAAGGCAGAAAGGCGATGGGGTGGCTCCGCTTTGGGTTTAGAAAATCCTATCATGAATCCAATTCTCTTGTCATTGGAACACAGACCGCATGTGCGAGGAACCTTCGATAACATGAAACCAGAGGCCACCACAGCACTTCCTTCTATCCCGTGTGTTTTTCCCAGCGTCCTTTGTTCAGGATTGTTTCTTGTGTTCCTCCCCGACACACAAGGCACTGCATTGAGTGCCAAGTCCACCAAGCCATTCAGTATCGACATCTTCCTGCAGTACATGTCATTAGTAATCCCATTTTACACGGGAGCTGGCTAGGTACACTCAGGACTCACTTTCCCAGAGGGAGGGCTTGCAGCCTGAGCCCCACCATTGCCCTCCACTCTCGGCACCTCATCTTGACTTTGCTCTCCTATCTGGAGAGTCCCACCCCATCCTGACCTCTGGAGAACGTGACTTGGGTCATTTCTCTTGGGAAGCTGCTGCATCTTATCCTTCCAAACTTGGAGAATTTCAAAATGTCAGATGAGTCTGATCCTCTATCAGCGTGCACTGACTGGCAGGATTTGGGGTTCAGTGTGCCAGGCCCAAAAGGGTATTCTTTGAACTGTGTGCTGTATCCTTTAAACTGTGTGCTGATCTGTCTATTCCAGTAGATTAGACTCTTTTTTTCAAACCATGAAGACTACAGACATTTCCATCCACAAATATTCCAAGGAACATGTGAGTCTGCCCAGTCTATGGAAATAACCGAGTTTTACTGATCTCTTTCAAGAAGTTTAGACCCCTGGGGGGAGGCCTTTTGGAACACAATCAATCACGCCAGCTCAAGGGCTGAGGTCCAAAGCAGTTGTTGATTTTGTATTGTGGCTTTTCACTTAAGGGGATGTAATGAAGACTATCAAATCCAGATACAACACAGTATGCATCTCAACTTCCAGATTAAAGATGGACTCAAATGAAACTGTTAACTGTATCTTGACAATAGGATGCTGGACTCTGCCATTGTTCGTGCCCGCAATGATGGACATATGACTGTTTATGAAGAACTATGCTATAGTAATAATATAGGGAAACTCAGTGTCGAAGTCGGGGCGGGGGAGAGGAAGCTTGCGGTGTTCCTTCAGCTTGCAGGTTACATATGCAGAGGAGTTCTACTTGCAGCCATCCATGTCTTCTGATTTCATTGCACCAAGAAGAACTGCACAGCGTGGCAATCCACAGACCAGTCCACCCTGGTCCTGGAGAGCAGGTGCCTGGATTAGCCAAAGGTGACTGTTGAACTCTTCTTGATCAGTCTGAATGACAACGACAGATGTCATATGTTTGGAATTGAGGTTTGTTGCTACCCTTTGTCAGCACCCAGCTTGGGACAGGAGCCAAGACTTAGGGAATGTCATAGGAGGCTATTGGGACCATTTCTCACTCAGGTGGGAAAGTGTCAAACTTGGATGGCTGAGAGGGATGCTTGATTCTGTAGTTTGGCAAGTGGGCCTTTCCCTACCCAATTCCGCATAAGCCTATAGTGTCAGGATCTCCGCTTCTAAACCAAGTACTCTTGTCAAGACAATTCTTCCAGAATCAAGCTGAACTTTTTCCAAAAAAAGATGACAATAACAGAATTATTCATGTGTTACTCACAGCTTTAAGAATTTATTATATGTCACCTTAATTAATACACAAAAACAACCCAACGAGGCAGGTGCTTACTATCCATCCCATTTTATGAACAGAAAAATCTGAGGTTTGGTCTGAGCATTTCTTGTGCATGGAGTCTTACACCCCAGATAGACCAGCGCAAACATGAATCCGAGGCTGCACAGCAGGGGGCAGGGCCCCACCACCCACGCAGCGTTCACTCTGATTTCGTCTGTCCCTGGAAACAGCGATGGCTGTTGATGTGGCGGTGACAGAGTGACAGCACACATCGACGGCACAAGCAGTGACGTCTTCCTCACAGATCAGCGACAATAACTTGGATGGTGTCCTTGGCTGGACAGCTTCCTTCCTGAGAACTTTCTGATAACTTACAGAAAGACATTTTCTTCTTCCCAATTTTCATTCTGTGGTAACGAGGATCAGTGATTAACACAATATTTGACGTGCCTGACACCATAATTGTTACTGTTCTCTTTCCTGCAGTTCTGCATTTTACATCAAGCCTTTCAGTGTTATTTCACATTTAAATCACTTACCAAGAGTCATACATTTTGCTATGTGATCACCTTAAGTCTTGGGACATTCACAGGTGAGTTTTCTTAATAGAGAACAAAGGTATGTCATTTTGAAATTCTCAAATCTGGGACTCTCCTTGAAAAGAAAATAACATTCTTCCTTCCTCAGAGGCTCAAAGGACAAAGAGCAGAGTGGGAGGTACCTGCTCCCACTGTCCTCACTGAAGATAACCCAGCACAGAGCCTTCTCCTTTCTCAAGGAACTGACTCCCTTGACCTTGAGGTGGACATAGGGAAGAAATTCTGTTATCTTCAGCGGCCGTTCAGCATGGTCCTTAGTTCTTCATTCAAGCCCACAAACAGTTATTTTGTGGAAGATGATTCCACAAAGTCATTTAGTATTCTATTGTTTTAAAATTTATTTTTGGTTATCAATGTATTCCAAACTAGATTCACAGATAATGAACTTGCTGAGTCATCTGCCACTTAAACCCACGGCTTCCACTACCTTGTGCTACTTGGCAATCCAAGCAGAGGATGAAAATGGTCATCTGGGCCTGCGTGCATGAGGCTCAAGGACACTCCATCAGGGTAGACCTCAAAGCCTTGGGTGTTTTGTGTATGGAGGTAGAGCAGTTGGCCACTGATTCACAGAGTGGAAATCCACTAAGAAATTCTTCATGGATTGTTTAAAACAATATATCAGGAGCTGGTGTTGTGGTGTGTTGAGTAAAGTTGTTGCCTGCCATACCAGTGTCCCCTTTGGGAACCAGCTCATGTCCTAGCTGTTCCACTTCCAAATCCAGCTGCCTGCTAAAGGCCTGGGAGGAAAAGCAGCAGAGGTCAAAGTGTTGGCGCACAGCATCCGCAGCATCCAGTGAAAGGCCTGGAGGAGCCTCTGTCTGCTGCTTCAGCCTGACCCTCCCTCAGCATTCCTGACATCCCGAGACTGAACAAATCCATTCCCTCTCTCTCCCATAAATCTCAACAAAATGGTAAAAGAAGGACTCTAAACTAGTATAAGTGAGCTACTTGTTTAAAAACAAAATTGCTTAAAATATCTGGGTTTTGCTACGTTTATAAAATACCTCTGAATATTACATAGTATTCCAACATTTTGCTTGTTATACAGGAAAACCTTCCAGTCTATGTAACTGCCTTTGAGCAGGCCAGAAGGCAGTGGTCGCAGCACAACAGGAAGGAAATCAAAGTGTCCTCTGTGTCACAGAACGTGAACGTTTGAGCTTGATTCGAACAAGAGCTAAGAAAGGCACAGAGCGGGGCCAAGACAAAGCCAAAGGAAGTCCTGGTTGTATCAGGAAGTCTTGGGGCCAGCGATGGCTGCACACGCAGTAAACAAAGGTATCCACAGTTGGAAAGGGGCAATAGTGGAGCACCATAACAAAGATCCCCAAGGGGGGAGAGAAGCGCACCAGGTCCCTTCACCACCTCCACAGCTCAACAGCGCCCCCTGTGGCATCCCCCACCCCAAGGATCCCCCGAGGATCCGCCCAAGTGGAGAGGGGCTGACAAGGAATCCTGTTACACAGCTGGAGCTGCAAGGGCCTCTGCGGACACTGGACTTGGCACTGGGGAAGGCCGACCCTGAGGGTTTGCTGGGACAAGGGCTCTGTGTCTGTCAGCATCGTTAGCACTCTTCACATCTGATGGGGGTAAATTTATAAACCTTTTGGGAGTGGAATGGAAGTGGAGGTTCAGAGAATTCAGGCATTTTGTTCAAGATCAGAGTAATACCAAGGTATTGAATGAAAAAATGCCTAACTTCAATGTTTATGCTATTTTCAACAAACCAAGCAGAATCCTTATAGAAGTCTCAGACTAGTTTAACTCTTACACATACATCATGCTAAAAATTAAATAATTTCACATTTTAAAAATTGAATTATTTGTTTCTAAATAGCAATGGAATTAGGAAATATCTTTAATAATAACAAAATGGGCATATCAAAACCCAAGAACTGTATCAGGGGAAAGCGTTTTGCCTAGCAGCTGACGTGTTGGTTCAGATATCCACATCATATCTCAAAACATCCAGTTCTAGCTGCTGACTCCAGTTTCCTGCTATGCAGGAAAAGTATTCAGACTTACCACCTACCAAGCGAGGCCGGGACTAAGGTCCTAGCTCCTGGCCTCCCCCAGCTGCTGGGTGCACTGGGGGAGTGGACCAACGACTGCAAGATCTTTCTCTATCCAGCTCTCTCTCCAGCTCTCTGCCCCCATTTTCAAAGATAACTATAGCTAAAGCAGACCTCAGCGAACATCTATAGCCTAAACTGAATGTTTGAGAAAAGAAATTCAAAATAATTTCTGAATTTCTAATAATAAAGAAAAAGAACAAAACATTGAATAAAAATAAAGCAATTAATTGAGTTATGGGTTAGTTTTTTTAAAAAGTAGCAAAATGTATGAACCCCAAGTAGAACAAATTAATGACCAACAGGGAGAAAAAGAGATTGCCACGGTCAGGAATGAATACATCTGAAATGCACACTCCATGGATAACACATTGAGTGGAAACAGAGGAAGAGGTGCAGGAGGGGCAAAGTATCTGCTTAGAAGCTGTACAGAGTTCACATTCGTGGGCCTGAAAAGAGAGAGCACATGTGCTTCAGAGCTGGAAGGACCCAAGTGTGTTCCAGTTTCTACCCTGATGCTAGACACACAAATTTATTAAATTATGGAACTGTTTGAAGCTCCCATTTTCTCAGCTTTGCAAGTGGGTTAAAATAATACCAAGCTCACAGAACCTTAGGGAGGGTTAAAGGTAAAACATCCTACACAAAATGCCCTATAAAATAATTTTTCCATGAGATAGTCCCAATACTCCTCAAAACCACAGAATTTATAGTTTGCCCACTTGCAGGAAGGGTATAAAAATATGAGACCAGCTCGTTTGTTTGGAAATGAAACATTTTCTCAGAATCTTGAGCACCTATCTTTCTTCATGTGTCTAACGTACTAAGGCAGGTTTGGTGTGGTTGTTTTCAATAAAAAGAATGTTTCCAGCATGTAAAACACATAAAAGCATCATATGAAATAACTTAATATAAAATTCCATTCTAAATTCATACAATAATGTTTCTGAAAGTCTATAGATTACAATAAATGCTATGCTGAGCCTTTGAGGAAAAGGATTTCCATCTCTAGTGGTGACATCACGACAGAGGGCCTATCCCACACAGGAGCTGGTTGATGGATGGGAGAGAAGATCTTCCACTGGAGCAGCAGATGTTGGGCAGGTGTGTGCACAGGTGGGAACATCAGGTATTGGGCATGCTGGTGTGTACAGGTGGTCAAGGATCTGCAACCCCCACGGCTACGGGCTTACAACAGAGCTCTGCAGGTCGGATGCGACGAATGTTTAACACACTGAATAAACCTGGCAGGCCTGCGAAAAGAAAGCAAAAGCAGAGGTCAAGGTGCAGTACAATGCATCAGCAGATCAATTTGCCAGTGAACATAACCCTTTTATTAGTAACGGAAGTGTGCATGGCCCACAAAGCATCCACACAAAGTTCGCTCTGATAGCAACAACGCCAAGAAAGATCTACTCCAGGATCGGGATGATACTCTGCCGGCTCTACCTTCAGACCAGAGATGGTCTCCTCAAGAAACCGTTGAACTTATCTGGACAATAAGATACTGGACTTTATGCTTGGTAGATGCTTGCAATGAAAGAATCTTAACTGAATTTGAACTGTGGTAACGCAACAAGGTGGAGCAATCCACCATGGGGGGGGGAGGGAACCCCAGTGCCTATAAAACTGTGTCACATAGTGCAATGTAATCAATTTTAAAAAAATAAATAAACAAAAAAAAGTTAGAAAAAAAAAAAGAAAGATCTACTCCAGGAACAAAAACTCAAGTGTGACCTGATTTCGTTTCATTTCACTTGTAAAATCATGGATGCAGATACTGAGCAGGGATGCTGGGCAGCACTACTATGGAAGTGAAAAAAGAAATGCGTGGCTCTGATGTCATAGGCGTGATTACCAATGCCAGCTGATGAGGAAGCAGAAGCAGCATCCAGGATTGGGCGCCTCTAGTTTCTTGGGATCATTTGCTTTTCTCTCATTAGAAGTTTCCAAAGGGTTCCATCAAGGAGTCAGACAACAGAGGGTTAAAGCCTTCTCAGAGAAAGGGGGGTGGGGGGAGGGCTTTCTAAAGAGGACCGCAGAACAAGACTGAGATGTGCATCTAAAAGACAAATGACAGTGGTTTGGGGAGATAATAAGCAAAAGGCTCTAACAGGAGTAGCTGGCATGTGTCTGGCTGTGGCACGCTGGCATCCTGCCTGGGAGGGGAGAATGTGAGGGCCTCGCCTGTGCAGGGTTTGCTCAGGTTCGCTCTCAGTTAGGCCCTCATGACCAGCTAGACACAGTGGCTCCAAGTGTAGTCACTTCCCTTTGCCAATAGGGTCATCTGGAGTCAGCCGCATGAAGGCATTCTAGCAAGAAAATGTTTGCTATTCTGTAAGGAAATGCCACTTTGGAAAAAGATTCTTCCTAAAACATTCAGCATTTTAACACACACACACACACACACACACACACACACACACACACACGTCTATAATTTCTAACTTATCGGGAACTCATTTTTTTCTAAGAGACAGTTTTTACACTGGTAAGACTACATCCCTTCACAAATATGTGAAATTTTATGTTGCATGTCCTAGTAAAATGGACACACCTTTCCCAAATTGTGCAACATTTTAAAAGGTTGAGGCTCTGTATTTTTAAGTAACATAGAGGGATTAATGTACCTGTTAGGGTTTTGTGTTGTTGTGGTTGTTTTTCATTAGCCATTACAGGGTACTAAGCAAAGTATCTGACCATTTGCCACTTTCAACATCATTTTGAAAAGCATAGCTACTTTTTTTTTTCACTCTGTTGGCTAAAATGCACATGAAGAAATCTTGTATTCATCTTATGGGAACTGTGACCTTACGTATAGAAAAAACAGGAAAATTCTTCAGGATATATAGACAAATATCAATAGTATTTGCCTCTAAATGGGGAGGATTAGAATTGCTAGGTTTAGTCTATGCCAATATACCTACCTTTCTGCTTACTTTATTCAATATTCACACTAAAACATCTGGATAAAAGTTTACTCGATCAGAAGGTATGTCTGGGATAGAGAGATTTCAACTCTGGACTTTGTCTACATCTATGGAATTTACTTTGAGCTTTCCCAGAAACCGAGCAGTCCTTCAGAGCCACACAACTCTTAAAAACGAGAGGCCCTGTGAGTCCAAAGATTCAAAGGACCATGTTAACTATGTTATGGCATCATAGTTGGAGAGAGTCAATATGCTGTCCAAGTCTAAGGTCACATAATCTGGCACTCTCAGTGGCTGGCGGTGGTGTACAAATGACTGGCTTCTTACATGGACCACTGTCCGTTCAAGCCCTTGTAGAAGCTACCCCTGTGCATTCTTTCCAGACAAGAACAGGTGAGCCCACCTGGAACCTGGAGTCGGCACATATGAGTTTTAATGAAAAGGATTTCTGGCTATTCATGAGAAATAGGGAAATGATTATTAAGAGACAAAAAGACACTTGAATGTTGAGAATGAGTCTCATCTTCCTGGGATTCTGGTATCTGGCTTCCCTCCTCCTAGGATTCTGGTATTCAGCTGTCTCCATGCTAAGCACACACTTGGGCTTTTTTCACAGCTGTTCCTTTGCTTTGTGTGTTCTCCCCTGTGCCTACTGCAAAGGCTGATGTGATCTCCTGGAAGTTCCCCAGACAGGAGCCAGCTGATTCATAGGGAAACAAAAGCCAACGGGCAAGTGTCTGGAAACTATCGTTCTGCCCTGGTGTTGGGCTGGTGGGAGAAAGTAGTGATGCAGCAGGAACAGGAAAACTCTCCTGGCACTTCAGCTTCTACATTCATTGAGCATCTTTTCTTCCTATGCACCAATTTGCATGGTCCTGCACTCTTCAAGCCACGCAGGCCTGTAGGCCATAGGCCAAACCAGGAGGGACCTCCTCACAGGCTGGGCCAACCTCATCGGCAAGTCACTGTTTGGGACTGGCAGAGAGGGAGGGGAAGATGGGACAAAAGTGGCCATGCAAACACGGGGCGTTAGGGACAGATACCACCATAGGTCTGATCTGAGAACACCACCAAGGTCCAAGAAGGGCCTGCATGACCCTGCCAGCTCACAGAAGATCAGTAGTGGAGCAAAATCCTACACAGGACAAGATAGTCATTTCTCCATACAGAAATCTATTACCTGTAGTCATTGTAGCATTCAAATGAAATCTTCCTCTGTTCCACAATTGATTTCAACTCACGGATGGAGGAACCTGAGCATGTGTCCCTGGGGAGAAAAGAGAGAAATATCAAAACAACCAGCTCTCTCAACACTGCTTGAGTCATGGTTTCTGTTCCCCCAGCAGGCCTGGGGATGGAGAGCTGAAGCAGAGGTGCACCTGAGAGCTCCCAGGAGATCAGACATCAACTGAGCATCCTGTGATCGATTCACGAAACAGCCATTGTGCATCCCTGGAAGTGTGTAAGGCATACCTGGAAACTGCTTCCACATTATGCATCACCCAGGCCTGAAGCGTATGAACCTTCTCTGGTCGCAAATTGAAGATTTCTACACCTCCAAAAGTGCTACAACAGAAGAGAACAAAAACACTGTCAACCCCCAACCCAAGTCTGAAGTTATCCAAACCCTTTGTCAAAAACCAGCGGGCAAGTTGTCTCTATTAGAACCCATCCTTTGGAAATAACTTGGGATTCACATTGCAAAGAGACACATCTTCTTATACCAGGTGGCACTCAGTGAACAAGATTCTCAAAGTAAAATTATCAATCTGCACATTGAAGCTGATCTTTAAAATTACTTGCTGCTCAGAAAGCAGTTCTTAGATCGGCATATTACACAGCTCCTAAAAAGGGTTAGAACTGCAAGACCTCAGCCCTCAGCCACCTGTTGGATTAATGTGCAAGTGAACAATCCTCACACAATTTATGTGCTCAGTAACATGCAAGTTGTGCTTTGGAGGACACTAGTGGTCTCTCCCAATTCCACTGCTAGACTCTTCCCTGTTCAGCTCTTACGGCTGTTCCTTCTTGCTGCAGGTACCTGGATCCCAGATGCTAGACCAAGTCCTTTAATTTTAACATTGTCACCCAAAAAAACCTTGAAGTTTGGGGTCAAAAAAGATAACAGGATAAATTTTTCTTTGTGAAATTAAGTATGTAAAGAGGATAAACAGAAAATTAAATTTTGGGTACCCAAAATGCCCCGATAGATTAACACAAGCCTCCTCTTATCTGGAGAAAAAGAACAAAGGCCAAAAAATGTGAACAAGGAGGCAGGGGACTTAAGTACAGAAAGACATTATCAGGCCAACATGGATGTGTCATGATGCCCCTTGGGTGTGAATTAAGCAATGGGTTTTTTAGTACCTTCCTTATTAGGCACAGAATTCAGCATTTTTCATACATGTCTCAGTTAATCTTCAGCTCACCATTCCCTCTGAGCTATGTACACAGGCACTGCACAATCCCTTGCTGGTAATCTCCCACAAACAGATCAGGAGTTCAAGAGCCCAGAGAAGTTCCGGGGGTTTTCAACAGTGCCTTTACCACAACATTAGGATTTACACTGCTCAGGGAGTTCAAAGTCAGGTCAGATCTTCAGGGTCAGTGAGGGTTTAACCAGACAGAAGCAAGACATACAGGGAAATGGTTTGAACAGAGGAGTAAAACAGTGTAATAGGAAAGAAAGTTTAGAGAATTACACTGGATCTCAAAAAGTCAGGAGCAACAGGTGGGTGCAATGTGATGGCCTTTAGAACCAGTGAGAGATTTTATGCAAAGAAGAAATCAGATAAAGGCTCTGACATCGAAATAACTGTCTCTTCAGGGGAAATGAATGTTCTAGCTTTTAATAAGGGCTTTAGCTTTTAATAACTCTTAGCCAAATCCTCAGGACTAACCTGAAATATGAAAAGTATATTTATTCTAGGGATTGAATTTGCATTGTGATGCCATAATAATCTTTGTGAATAGATTATAAAAATGAGTACCTGGCTTTGCTAAATGGAGTGTCTCTGGATCCATTGAGCATCACATAGACCGTACCACAGGCAGATTCTGCAAACTTGAAAAAAGAAAAGGTCCACCATTCCTCAGTATGCAAACCCAATCACCATGCCCCCAAAGCTCCATCCAACACAATGCTTACTAGATGGCTGGTGAAAGAAGGGCTATTGCGCTTTAGATATATTTCATTCAGTGAGCATAATAAACAACTTAGGGGTCTAGGAAAGTACAATATCATGGAAGGGGGCAACCAGGAGAGAAAAGGAAACAGAGAGGTCTGGCAAGGCAGAAAGAGAAGTAGGGGTGGGGAGAGCTGAGTGACCAAATGAGTAAGATGAGTAAGGACTTTATTTCTCCTGATGCAAACATTTATCTGAAGCATTCACTAAGCATCACTGAGAACAAAATAAGCAAAACAAAAATTGTTCAAGTCTGTAGAAGGACATTGTGATTTGTAGGGCAAATCATAGGACGATGATTGATTGGTTATCATTTGTATGAAAACAACTGATTGAATATTATTTGAATGAGGACACTTGATTGGATATACAAACAAAAAGATAGTTTCAAACAAGAGTGTGGAAACAATTGATGGGTCCGTAGAAAGGTTTATGGGAACTACGTAAGCTCCTCAATACCTTTTCCCTTATCCTACGTGAGCCTCAGTCTACAAAAGCCTGAAGCCACTAGTAAACTTGGGCAATCTTACCAACACGGGAGCTCACGCGTGTTATAGGCTCCATGCACCAAGTCCATCGCTGCAGTTCAGCGAACACAGGTCTATCCAGATCCTTGAATCCTGCTACCTGAACCCTAACAGCATCCAGGTCCTCTTACATTATCTAACTGTACTGCATTGCAGGGATGACCCTGGTGTCCATTTAACTGCAATACTAAGAATTGTGTGAGCCGTGACCCTGGCTGTCCCATTTACCTTTATTCCCTGCAGGCCTTGCACTTTGGCACATGTGACAGAGTGTATTGGAGGGACTTGAATGTGCATTGGCACAAACATGCATGAACATCTGTCCAATAAAAATTCATGGAAGGAAAAGAGGGAGGGAAGGCAGGAGTAAAGCGGAAGCAAGAAGTTCAGTACTCCGTGACAACGAGCAGGAAAGAATCATGAAGTGCACAAAGGCCCCAAAGGAAGAAGTTCTAAGGGCTTAAAAGAACCACAGGGTTTCAACAACTCAGTTCATGCAGGGCTGTGAATGTTTTGCCAAGGAATCTGAACTTCCTTCTGTAGATGATGGCGACACCACTGAAGGATCTGAAAACTGAATTGTGAAATCAAACGCTGCTTCTGAATTTCCACCAAGGTTGATGAGGGACATAAGAGAATCGTGACCATTATTTCTCACAATTGCTAATGCAAAAGAAAGCTTACAGATACCAAGCTAGGACCCCACAAACTATAATTCTTTTTCTTTTTTTTTTTTAAAGATTTATTTTTATTATTTTTTTCATTGGAAAGGCGGATATACAGAGAGGAGAGACAGAGAGGAAGATCTTCCGTCCGATGATTCACTCCCCAAGTGAGCACAGCGGGCCCACCGTGCCGGGCCCACAAACTATAATTCTTAACAGCCCCTATAGGTAGGTATTGAGTTACTTTGCCTCAAGATTCCATCACTTGGAAGCAAGCAGGTAAGACTGAGACTTGAACTAGCAGGCAGCACTGCTTCTGTTATCAGAAAGGTCCTTGTATATACAGCCTTGAACACTTGGCAAAGATTAAGGTAGATGGGCCAAAGTAATTCACAGCAGCAGTGAGCATTCACTCACATCCTCCATTGTACTTCTGAATTAGGGATGGGGGTGAGGGTCACAATTAGGTGTTCGGTGCGTGTAAATATTACTTGGCCTTTAAAGTTTGTAGCAATTGCACCACCCTAAAACATATCACAGAGTGATAAAAATAAACAGGAACCATTGTCAGAAAAGGTGGCAAACAAACAAATAAAAACTAATAGGACCACTGATCTCACAATACAGAATAGGTACATGAAAATACGTGTCAAATAGATGGGTTCTGAATTACTTAACAACTAGTGGTATTTTATGTAAACACTGCATTCACCCTATGGAACAAACATGTCTTGATGTCCAATTTGACAAGTGGGGAAGCTGAAGTTCAGAATCACTAAAGGATCTCCCCAACTTTAAAGATGGGCTCTTTATTTCCGCTCTAGGGCTATCTCCTATCTCTGGCATACCAATTTGCCTGCAACCCTTACAGTGAAAGGGGGCTTAGGTAGATACCAAAAGGAACTTAAAGAAGAGCAGATGCAAACAACAACAACACAACAAAGTTGAAGAGCATACAGTTAGGCAATCAAATGAGCCATTTAAAAGACAGGACCAACAGGCATCCACAAGGCCCTGGCATAGCTACTTGTTAGCACAGTGACCTTGGATGAGTCTTTTCCACTGAGTTCTGGTTTCTTCAGCCGTAGCATGCAGGTATATACTTCCTTCTGCTACACATTAGCAAGTGGGAAGGGTTTAGGGAGGTTGCACATGCTCTGCTGTGCCCAGGTTCTAGAACTGGAGTCCCAGAGTTTGGAGTAAACTCCCAGATCTGCTGTTTCCTAATTGTGTACAAGTGGTCAATCTCTTGTTTCCCTGCACCTCCATTTTGTCATCTATAAAATAAGCATAACACTTATCATAACTATTTCATATTGTTGTTGTGAACAGAAAAATCTTTAGGTAAGGTAATGATCTAAAGACAGTGCCTGTGCATAGTAAGTGACCCATGCATGTAGGTTATTATAACTAACCCATGGACAAAAATATGACCTGTTTCCAAAATTAGACCAAGTCCTAGCTTGCTAGCAGCCAAAGCCAAAGGGTGGACAAGACACAGGTTCTTCAACTGGAACCCACAGATGCTCCATGAATGCCTTAAAGTCAAATGTGAAAAACTCCGCGATGTGCTTCTGAACGTTTTCCTCAGGAAAGATTCCTGCACCTACACTCCGTCAAGGATGTGTGACCCTACATGTACTAAGTGCAAGAGCTGGAATCCCGTGGCTTGGGATGTACCTTCTGTGAAATCACATTCCAGAATACATAAGTAGCAGTACTGTTGCACGTTTCATTCCGATGTGGGCAAGATTCATGCTTTATTTCTGAAAAACATGTTTTTAGAACAAAATGGAAAGGAAAGCATTATTAAGGTCCGCTCTTCCAGGTTATTCAATTTTCCAGTTGCTTCACTGCCAAGCAGGAGAATACAGATGGATACATCTCAACCCAATTTAACAGAGAGTCCCCTGAATCCCTTCCAAGTCCTTACCCTGTGGATCCCAGATGGGAACAGAGGGACAGGCTTTGAGTCATTCTTCTGGGAAATGATAACAAAAGTTCACCCAACAGAGTCAAACTGACTCTTTGCCTCTGAACCCCGGAAGAAGCAGAGATTAAACTGCACCGTCCAGGGTCACTCTCACCAACAACTTCTTTTGCTTCTGAATAGCTTTCTCATGTTGACAGTTTTCCTCCCACCTCCTTAAATCCCCATGTCCTTAGGGTCAGATGCCCTTAAGTCTTTTTACATTCATCCCATTGGACAAGCTCAATAGTCATAAATCATGAAGACCTTTTGAACATATATTTCCCTTTAACTTTTGTTTTTATTTTATTTGGAAGGCAAAGAGAAACAGCGACAGGGAGAGACAGAAAAAAATCTTCCACCCATGATTCATGCCTCAAATGCTGTAGCAGCCAGGCTAGGGCAGGTCAAAGCCAGGGGCCCAGATCTCAGCCTGCATCTTCCATGTAGATTGCAGGGATTCAAGTGTGAGTCATTACTTCTGCCTCCCACTGTGCTCAGTAGCAGAAAGTTGGATTGAAGGGTGAAGATTCATGACTCAACCAGATGCTCCATATGGAATGGGAATCTCTCAAGCAGTGACAGCCTTTGGGCAAATACCCACCCCTGAATTTTCTGTGTCACTTCTTCCAAGGATCTGTATTAATGCACATTGCCACAGGTAGTTGTAAAAAATAATATTAACGATAACAATAACAACATTGAATCTTTAGGTCAAAAACTGCTGGTGCTGGAGAATGAGGTCAAACCCTGTGGGCAATGGTCCATGAGTGGACAAAAGTCCAAGATCAAGATTCAGGCCTGTGGGCAAGGGTCCATAGCTGGGCAAAGATCCAAGACCACAGGACTTGTGCTTTTAAGATGTCCTTGAGACAGTCACATCCTAACTTCTGTACTTTGGCCATGTTGTTGCTACCTCATCATCAAGAATTGGCTGCTAATATTGATATAGGGCATATATTTATACCACATCAATTATTGTAATTTGACTTCCCAAGCAGGTCAATAAAAGGCTGAGATGGTGAGCCTTCTGAGTCAAGCCTCTTCCTTAGATAAAGGGGCTTCCCTCCAGCCACCTCCCTTTTACAGTTTATCTTGTGTGTGTCTCATTTCTTATTTTGTTTCAATTGTACATAGCTTCGCTCTTCAAGGCAATTCATGCCACTGTGGGCAGAAGTACACATTTGCTGAGCATTATAATCTGGGGGTAGGCAGATGGAATAGATGGGGGATCCTGCCCTCAGAAAGCATATAATTTAGTGTTATCAAATAGACCACAAAAATATTGACAGATGGTGGGGGTAGGGGTGCAGATTGTGTGAAACCAATATGGAAGGTTGATGTTGGATTGGTTTGGAAAGATGCCTTGGTGACTTCGCACAGACAAGGCAGAGAAAGATGCTTCAAGCAGAGTGAGAGCGTACAAAGGAGGCAGCTGTAATGATTTTAGAACAAACATTGGCACAGCAAGTGAGAAGGGGATTAATGGAGCCAACACTGGAAATCATGCATTAAGCCACCAGCCGTGACATCAGCATCCCATACCAGAGATTCAGTTTGAGTCCTTTCCTGCTCAGGCAAACCATGAGAAGGCAGTGGAAGATGCTCCCTCTTCTTTGGGCCCTGCCACCCATCTAGGAGATGAGGATGGAATTCCTGGTTTCTAACTTCAGCCCAGCCCAGATCTGTCCATTGTGGCCATTTGAAGAATGAATTAGCGGGTGAGAAGCCTGTCTTTCTTTTTCTCTCTCTTTATTCCTCTACCTCTTCTCACTCTGTACTCTCCCTTTCAAATAAGTAAAGTATTGAGAAAAAGAAAAATAGGTAGGTAATGGAAGAGGAGGAGGGTGAAAGACAGAGTCAAGGTGTACCATGAGATTTCTAAGGAGAATCACAGTTCATCAGTGTTTTAAAAGGGGCCTCACAGGATCGTCAACAGTTAAGCTGCTTTTTAGTTTCATCAATATTTTCTCCTGTATTGGAAAAGGATTTAAATTGGAAGCAAAAACATTGGTGATGATGATAATGATGATAATGATGATGATGAATAAGAGCAAATTCATTGATGAACATTGATCCAAAAATCCTCAACAAATTATTAGCCAAGTTAATTTAGCAGCATGTTATAGGATCATCTGCCACGATCAAATGGATTTGTCCTTTAAATGCAGGACTTTTTCATAAATTCCAATCAGTAAGTGTGAGATGTCACACTAACAGAATAGAAGACAAAAAATCATGTACTCATCTCATAAAATACAGAAACAGTAGCTGGAAATCTTCAGCCTCCTTTGTAATAAAAAAAGAAAAGCTTCCAAGAAATCAAATATTGAAAGAAGGCACCTCAAGACAATAAGAACTACACATGAGAAACTGGCCACTAGCATCACACTCTGTGCTTATAATTGACATTTTTCCTCTAAGATCTGACCCAAGACAAGAAAGCTCACCATCTCTCTTCTAGTCAACACAGCATTGGATGTTGTTGTCAGAGCAAACTGCAAAGTCCTTTTTCAAAGAGAACAAGGAATGTGCTCAGGAACACTGTTTTCCCCTTTCCTCCAATGTTATAAAACCATAGGGGAATCAGGGTGAGTACCCGTTACTTCTTCTACACACCGACTTTCCAGGGCCCACACAGTGCTTGGCGCTCCCTCGCCCCATTCCTTCCTGGCTGTCGCATGGGGCCCCGACACTCACCGGAAGTTCTGGGGTCTCCACACCACGTGAGGCCGTCACCCATGTAGCCCAACAGTGTGTCCTCTAGAGTGAACATCTCCTTCTGGATCCCTGTGTACTCATGGACCAGCTCCTTGGATCTACTCCAGAAGAGGCTCTAATAAAGATAAGCACACTCTATTATCAAGATCAGGTTAGACAATAGGTCAAGAAATAAATCCAAATGCTTGTAAAGAAAGAAAACACCAGTATATAAAAAAAAAATCAGTGTGTTTATGATGCTTTCTGTGTGAATGGCTTTCTGTGTGAGAGCTGGGGAGAGATGGAGAGTGCATGTGTGTGTGTTTGCGGTCACAATGTAAAATGAACTTATTACTCTGGGTTGTAGTTCAAAAAGTCTGCCAATACTTGGTCAAATTTTTTTAAAGATTTATTTTTTTTAATTGGAAAATCAGATTTACAAAGAGAAGGAGAAACAGAGAGAAATATCTTCCTTCTGCTGGTTCACTCCCCAAGTGGTTACATTGGCCAGAGCTGAGCCAATCTGGAGCCAGGAACCAGATGCTTCTTCCGGGTCTCCCACGCGGGTGCAATGTGTCCTCTACTGCCTTCCCAAGCCACAAACGGAGCTAGAAGAGAAGTGGAGCAGCCAGAGCACAAACTGGAGCCCACGTATCTTGGTGCATGCAAGGTGAGGACTTTAGCCACTAGGCCAAAGCCCCATTGGTCAAATCTTAGATTTAACATAGGAATCAAACCACATTGGGAAGTGGTGTTAACACATTCCAAATAATCCTAAAATTGTCTGTAATAGAAAAAAGGTTTCATGTTCTAGAAGTAGTGCATCTTGATATATAAAGAGCTTCACAATCCCTTCCACTTTCCCCCAATTTTCTCTACTTCTATAGATGGAAAATGAAAAGGGGAAAGAGAAAGAAAGAACAAATACAGGTTGGGATTTTGAGCATTCCACTTACAGGTGCATTGGCAATTCTCAGGGTCATATTCAGTCCCCTAAATTTGATCACCCTTAATAGGTGGGTAAAGGCTTAAATCCTGGACTCAGGAGTCACACTGTTTGTTGCAGCCCAGCACCACCACTTACTAGGTATTTGATATTGGGCAATAAAAGCATTACTAAGGCCTCACTTTCCACACTTGTAAAATGATAATGATGAACTCAATGTATACTAGGGAAAGTAAATGCAAGTAAATTGCCTAGGACAAGGTCCATCGCTTAGTCACTCATACAGGATGAAAGCTGAAATTTGAAGATGATTTAGAAGCTTCCCAAAGACAACCTGGGACATACAGAGTTTTTGCCTTAAACTCTGACGTTGAAGGGGACACACTCTAGGTGTAGACCCTCTCTCAATAATCAATGCACTAAGAGCCAGCCTGGCTAAAAGGCTTGTGCCATCTGCCTCTCAGCTGCATGCTTCAAGCCCAGTCACTCGTCACTCAAACTGACCAGGCCTCATTTACTCACGGGAAAAGGGATGCTGACACCCGACCTGCCTATTCCTCAGGATGGCTGCTGAGACCTAAGACTATAAGAGTCTTTTGCACCAAAATAAAGTAGTCCTTAAATGCAAACTTCTGTTATGATGACTATTGTTGCTGTCAGGTCAGAGAAAGTTTCATAAATAAACAAGGTTAGGTTATTTGTTTCTGCATGTGTGAGTTGGATTTGATATTTAGCTTATTTTGCCTGAATGTTGGCCAATTCTTCTTTCCTTTTGCCATGTCTCCGTTTGTCCCTTATCCCTGCCCCTATCTCCAGATATCCTCAATCATCGTTTCCCAATAGCCCCACAAACTGTGTCACTGAAATCACATTCACATTTCAATCTTCAGATTTCTCCTCTTTCTTCATCCCAATAAAAATTCGATAATATGATGTCTTTCAACATTGCTTGTCAGTTTTAAAGTTCACTACGTGGGATAGGCCTTTAGCACAGTAGTAAGGGTGCTGTTTTGGTTGCCAGCACCCCATAAGGGAGTGGCACTCAAGAGGGAGAGGCAGATGGAAGCTCCTGGCTTCAGCTTGGCCTGGCCCTGGGTATTGTGGGCCTGTGGGTTTTGGGGGGAGTAGATAGGAGATCTCTCTTTCTGTTGGCCTTCCAAATAAACAAAAATATTTAATTTTTAAAATTGAAAACCAATCACTGACTCGTTTTAGTTACCTTGTCGCAAGGCACAGGGTCCGCAGTCAAGTTAATCAGTGGTTGATAGTCTTCTCTTGTGATGCTGCAGGGATCCTTGGAAACAAAGGCACTCTTGAATGCATCCAGTATTTTCTTACAGTCTTTATCCCTAAGAGGTGGAGCATGGACAATAAACAAAACATGGGTCATTGGATTTTAAGCTATTTTCGATGCAAAATTATCAGTTAAATTTCTCGGTAGCCAGCATCTAGGTGCCAAGTAATTTACAGCTGCCATCTGTACAACATTGTTATGACAAAATGCTACCCTTCCTGCTTCACCGATACAAGAGAAACTTGATGAGGCTAAAAGACCTTCTCCAGTCCACACTGCTGGCAGTGTTATCGCCAAGGTTCAAATCCGTGTCTGTTTGGAGCTAAAGCTAGAATCTCATCATCAATGCTCCATTACCTAAGTGTCAAATTGGAAAGAATACGTAAAAGCAATCAGGTTCCTCTTTCCCAGATTTCACACTTCATAAAACCCTGGCTGGCACCAGCAAGTTTACCTTCCTCCCTGAGCTCCCTTGAGAGGTCCCATCTGTTGGTCGATGCCGTGCCCACTGCCTATATTACCTATAAACTTAGTAAACCAACATGGAAGAATTGAGGCCTCAAAAATGCATATGAAATGAAACCATGAGAATGAAATATCATTGAATAAAGAATACCACTTAACTAGACAAAAGTTTTGTTTCAAGGCCTGAAATAGAAATCCTGATGTTGAAAGCAAAGAATAGAAAACTTCACTGGAGGCTTAATATCAATAAAAGCTTGAAGAAGCAAGGATAGGAGATTTGACATTGAGTAAATCAATACTGAAAGTTACAGAAGGGAAGAGACTAAACAAATATTTGAAGAAATACTACTATAATATGACCAATAATAATAAACTACTGTCTCAATAAGCTCAATAAACTCCAAGTAGGATAAAACCACAGACCCAACTGAAATACAAAGCATCCAAATTATCAAAACACAGATAGAATCTTGAAAACAGAAAAATAGGTGATTCATTAAGTGGGCAAAAGACCAATAAGGAAATAAGGAACAAAGCCAGAGTCAAACTAGAACTGATAGACACAGAACAATCCACACAGCAGCAGCGAGAGACACATTTTGAAGGGTGTATGGGAGAGTCTAACACCGACTACATGCTAGATCACAAAACCAGTGTTATGCTAGAAAGACTGAAATTTAAAAAGAAATAAAACAGCAAGTCATGATTCAAAATAAAATGAAAAATGATACATAGTGTGTTGTCTGATCATGATGGACTTAACAAATCACAGACAGAAGGGACACTGACAATGAACCAACATGTGGAAGGACTCTCAGTGGGTCAAGTAGTGCGTTTGACACAGTGGTTAACAGCACACTTAAACACCTGCATCTCCTGTCCCACTGGCTAGCTGACAGTCCTGGCCCCATTTCAGCTTCCTGCTAACAGCACCATGGGAAGCAACTGGTGTGGATGCAAATGCTTGAGTCCCTGCTAACGACTCAAATGGAGTCATGGCTCCTGTTTCTGGCCTGACTCAACCCTGGAAGCTATGGTCAGCTGGGGAGCAAACCGGTGCATGGGAGATCTTTGTCTCTCTCTTTCAGAATCTTTGCCTTTCAAATGAAATGAAAGGCTCTTTTGGCTGAGCATCAGCCAAAAGAAAAAAAAGAAAGAAAGAAAAACACTCAGTGCTAAGAGAGAAGTCTATAGACAAATTCAAAGAGAATAAACATGTCCAAGCAGTAATCCAACCTTACACGCTAAGGGATTGGAAAAGATAAGGTTGATGTGAGCCCAAAGCAGGTAGAAGGAAGGAAATGATAGACTACAGCAGGAATTTTTAAATAGAAGATAGAAAAACAGAACAACACAATGACACTGAAAATTGGTTCTTTAAAAAAAAATAAACAAATGTTACATTTCTTTAGCTAAACTAACGGGAAAAGACCTAGTGAATAAAATCAAGATTTAAATAGGGAATATCACTACCTTCCCTAAAGAAAAGAAAAAAAGATGGCTAGTGAATGCAATGAACAATTAGATACAAATGAATTCTAAAACTCAAATGAACTAGACACATTCTTAGCAAAACACGAACTACCAAAATAAATTCAACAGCAAATAGAAAATCTAGATATAACAACTGAGAAGATTAAAATGATACTCAAAATATTGCTCCAAAAGAAAGCCCAGACTTAAGGCTTTTGCTGCTAAATTTCATTAACCATTTAAAGAATAATGAATGTCTAGGCTTCACAAACGATTCCACATCTTCCAACCTACTCCATGAGCCCAGCATTGAAACCAGACAAGAAATAGCACAAGGAAAAAAACTGCAGGTGTTTTATACACGTTTTTATACATTTTATATTTTACATATGTTTTATACATACATTTTATATGTTTCATAAATATTTTGTATATGTTTCTATAGATTTTATATATTTTATACTTGTTTTAAACATTAATTGCATACAGATATACAACAAAGGATAATGTATATCCTTTACAAATGACTGTACAAAAATCTGACATAAAAATACCAGGAAAAACAAAAATTGCTAACAAATAAAAATTAATTCTACACATTACCGTGTGGGTTTTACCCTAGGAGTGCAAGACTGGTTTAATACATGAAAATTGATCAATGTAATATGCTAGAATAATAAAATAAAGGATAAAAAAGTTATAATCTCAACAAACACATTTAACAAAACCCAAAACCATTCCATGACAAACATACGAAGCAAATTTGGGATAGATGGGAATTTCCTCAACTAGAAAAACTCATATACTAACAATCCACAAACATCATACTTAATGGATTAAAAAAAAAATACTTTCCCTTTTAAGATAGCGCACAATTTAAAGATGTCTGCTTTCCTCATTGTCACTTTATTCAAGGAAAATGTGTGTTATGAAAGCACTTTGCATGGATTTCAGCTTTTTGTGGCGGGGGCATCAAAGCAAACTTTTCTTTTCATTCCAGGCTTCCATGCGCTTCCTGAAGTCTGTGCCACACTGAGTTAGGGCTCAAGCAGCTGTGGTCTATGAAGGCCTCTGGACAAGTCTGATGCTTGGTCAGGTTTGAAAATCACTGAAGTGGGCATGAATCATTTAGAGGTAAGCTCTGAGAAGTTATATACATAATACATTCAAAGTAAACATTTCACCTTGGCTGTGTCCTCTAGGCTTTGTGAGGCTGAAAGACGCACACTGAAATAAAACAGAGCCAAGATTGCAGTGCCCAGAAACGGAAGTAGATCCTTCTAACTGGAAAAGGATCATGAGGAAGAGTCATTCCTGAAAGTTCTAGATGATTAATAAGTGATAGATGTTAGACAGATGATAGATGAGATGTTTGCTGGATGATACATGATAGATAGATAGATCCTTTTGTTTCCATGGAAATGTCACCCATGAGAGTTCTACGGGTCCCTGCTTGGGGCAGGAAGGCTGGGCGTTGGCACCTCTATCTATCTATCAGCTCCCAATGATGGGGAAAACACAGCTCTCAATGACGGGGCATGCCCAACTGAGACATGGTTAACAGAAATGGTTAAACAGTTTTCTTACAGAAGCACCTGACTCACCAACCATGATGGGGACTACAGTTACCAAGGGACCCAAGCAAGTCTGTGCGATTACATAAACAACTCTGGAAGTAATTCATTGCATCATCTTGAACCATTCAAGCACAATTGCTCCATCATCAGACTTTAAAATTCAGGCATCCTCTTTGATTTTCTTTTCTCCGCCGAAGTTGCTTCCTGTTGGCATTCACATTCCAGGGTGACAAGATGTTCCCCACAGGAGCGAGCCCAGCCAGCCTGCATGGATCTTCTTGATCATCAGGCAACTTTTCAGAAAATGTAGGCTTTCCTAAGTCGGAGCTTCCTAATCTCAAGAGATTTTGTCAATGAAGAAGAGAGACCACAGGCTCTACTTCTATTTACACGACTTTCCAGTTTGCAGAGAAAGAAAGAAAACACTGCAGCTGGAGCACAACAGACACTGGTTGGTGTTTGCACCCCCAGCCCTCTTCCTCACGCTCACGAGTGCTTAAAGTACAAGAATCCCACAACTTATCGCCTTCACCATGCTTCGTGTGCGGTTCAGCAAGCAAGTACTGTTTGTCTCCCTTTCCAGAGCTCCTCATCTTACAAAACTGCACATTTGAATACACTGAATGCCAAGTCCCCTTCCCTCTCCTCCCTAGGCCCTGGGGGCCTCCATTCTGCTCTTGGGGTCTTTGAGTTGGACCCCTCTGGGACTTTGTGTAAGTGGAATCATGCTGTCCTTTGGTGACCGGCTGGTTTCAGTGAGATGTCTTCCAGCTCAGCCAGGCTGTCTCAGGAATCAGAATTTCCTTCTTCGCTATGGCTGGACAGTACTCCATGGCGTGCGTGCACCCCACTGTGCTTACCCACTCGTCAATCAGCGGCCACTGGTTCTTACACAACTGTGAGTCTCACAGCAGGCTCAAGCACATCAAGATTTTGTGGTCCAGGCACTCATACCACAGGGAGGAAAAGTTACTACAATTAGAGCATGGCGACTTGCCCACAGCACTAAATCTTGAAAATACAATGAATAAACCAGAACATCTTGTACTACGCAGGATAGAAACAAACTCACAGTGATCAAACCGTATTTAAGCAACAGTCATCTCTAGTGCTAAGTGTATAGGGTTGTTTTTGTAACCTTTACTTCTCTTCTTGACACTTTCAGTGTTTCTACAATAAACACATCATAACAAACTTTCACTTTCTTGTTTAAGTTGCTTAAGAAATCAGACCAAATGTGTGAGACTGTTTGGCAGGTCTTGGAAAAGGTAAGCATCTCAGATGCAAGTCCTCTCGGTTGCTTTTGGTTCCTGATCTGTTGTTCTGTGCCCTGGGCTACAGTGTGTATCTGTCCTCAACTCTCACCCAGTTAGGGAGCACACCACATAACCAGGCAGGACACACACCCACATCCCCAGGTGACTCTGATAAAAGAGAAAGGTCATGGATCTCTCCCCACAGAGTTTGTCTCCACTTCAAAGGTTTCCTTTCATCCTCCACACAACCTGAATTGCGAGGACACACCTGAAGTACAGCTGGT